TGGGGTGCAGAGAGGTACTTGTCCTTGTTTCAGTTTGTAAATAAATACCTGTCATGCATCAAAACCTGTGAGATCAACAATAATGAAGCCAATTAAAATGTCACTTGCCACGTTACCAGCAGAGTTTTAAAGCAACAAAGCCCCTGAGTCTGAGGAGGGAGGAGCTTCCAGCCTGGCCAGGGGAGGGGAGAGGGATAAAATCACCTCTAAGCACTGTTCCCTCTTCCTAGCTGGAGCTAAGGACCCTTTTGGAGCCCGACCCCATCCCTCATCCATTAGAATACACCCCTAGCTGCAGAAAGCGTGAAACAGGAACATAGAGGTCAGGATCATTTGCTCCCCAGCTGCCATTTCCTATAAAGAACCTCTGGGTTTAGTTCTACAGCGTTGTTTTGTTTTGGGGCTCTGCTCGGGGCTTACTCCTGTCTCTACACTCAGGGATCACTCCTGGTGGTGCTCAAGGGACTAAATGGGATCAAACCTGGGTGGGCTGTCTGCAGGCAAGTGCCCTCCTGTTCATCACTCTGGCCCCAAAGCTTTTTCTTTTGGGGATCAAACCGAGGGCTCAAACATGCAAGGCAACTGCTCAACCACTGAGTCCTGTCCCTAGTAGCTCTGGTAGAAATCCAGGGCATGGGCCCAGAGTGATAGTACAGTGCTCGCTTCCATGCGGCAGACCCAAATTTGATGCCCCACGTCCCGTAAGATCCCTGCCTTCCCACCCTGCAGAGCCCCACCAGAGTGATATCTGAGAGCAGAGCCAGAGTAAGTCCTGAACACTGCTGGATATGACCCCAAAACAAAAACCAAAAATATAACCCAAAATACTTCAGGGTCTTCGGGCTGGAGCAATAGCACAGCGGGTAGGGCGTTTGCCTTGTACGTGGCCAACCCGGGTCCGATTCCCAGCACCCCATATGTTTCCCTGAGCACTGCCAGGGGTAATTCCTGAGTGCAGAGTCAGGAGTAACCCCTGTGCATTGCTGGGTATGACCCAAAAAACACACACAAAAAAAGCCAGAAATACTTCAGGGCCTAACCCTCAAGCTTTTCTTATATGTATATTTATGTGCACATCCCAAAGGTGAGGCATCATCAGGAACTTGGTATCTTTTCCTCCTTTCCACAGTAGTTGGTGGGCATCAGCACGTGAGATGCATCACATTGTTTCAAACCAGTAGCCGCTTCCTCGTGTTCGCAACTGTCCCCTCGTTTACAGAGAAAATGTCTGGAAATGGACAGTGAGACAGAGACATATCTGTGGATGGACAGTGAGATTCCCAATTGTTTGCTCTTGCAAGCAAAGTTGTAGCAAATATTCTTGTATGCAGATCTGCAGGCTTGACGGATACGTTCCTGGACATGCAGCCAGTGGGTCAGAGATGCTCTCTAAGGACTTTTGATGCCGACAAGCTTTTTCATCCGCGAGGAAGGAGGCCATTTCCCACTCCTCCCGATAATTCTGGGAACAATTTTCCTTCCGATTTGCTAAAGTGATTGATGGAAAAGCAGCATCCACTTGGTTCTATTTCATTTTTCCCTTCTGTTATGTCAGTTGGTTATTTGTGCTTCTTCATGATTCTATTTATGATTCCATTTTCTCTTCATTAGTGGGCACTGTTTGGGGTCACACTTTGCGGACCCAGGGACTGCTCCCAGCTTAGTGCTTGGGAGTTGCTTCCTGTGGTGCTTGGGAAGTCATATGGTGCTAGGGGTTAAGCCTGGGCCTCCTGTACACAAAACCCATTGCTTCCTGTTGAGCCCCCCTTTCCGTTAAGGCCACCATCTTTTTGTTTGTCTCTTTTCTCTTTTGGGGGGAGGAGGGGCATGTCTGGCAGTGCTCAGGACTTAATTCTGGCTCTGCACTCAGGGATCACTCCTAGTGGTGCTCCAGAAACCATATGGGGTGTCAGGGATCAAACCTGGGTCAGCTTTGAGCAAGGCAAGTGCCCTATCTGCTGTACCATCTCTCCAGCGCTCTTTTTGTTCCTGTACAAGGTCTATTTCTATGTTACGAATATTCACTTTCATTGTCATTTGTATTTTTCATGTTTACCAGTTTTGTCATTGTAAACCAGCGCATAGTAAATGTAAATATTTTTCAGGCTTGTGGTTTGTCTTTGAGCTTGGTCGATCAGATTCTCTGCCTGACACATGTTCAATTTCTGTAACTACGTCTGTCTTTGCTCCTTAGAATTCTTGGGGTGGTGTTTTGGGGCTCCAGAGCAGACTCTGGACATGCATGTGACTGGAGGGTGTGTATGAGCATCGACCAAATCTGTGAGTCCAGACTCCGCTCCTGGCTCACAGGTCCCATTGCCAGTGCCACACTCAGACTTGGAAGGTGGATTCATATTGCACTCTTAGCCTGTCCCCTCAAAGCCAGCTCTCCCCCCTCAGACCCACTTTCCCCCCCAATGCGCCCGTCTTCTTTCATTTGCTGCAGCCAAACCCGGTCACCACCTCAGCCATCATGTGAATTCTGCTCTTGACACATCCTGCCTCTGCCCATTCTGTCCCCCTCAACCACTCTCCCTGGTGGGGACCCTGTGGCCAGTCCAGCTTCTACAGGGACCTCGGGGCTCAGCTCTTCTCCTTCTTGTATTTTGGGGGCACACCTGCTGATGATGGGGGGTACTCCTGGCTAAGTGCTCAGAGGTCATTCCCCACAGTGGTTGGGGGACCTGTGTTGCCAGGGATGGAACCCAGGGCTCCCACATGCAAATACTGTGCCGCAGCCCCTTGAGCCAAGCTCTGGTCTCGACTCCAATCTTGTTTTCCTTCTCCTTCCCTTCCCTCTCTCTGCGTTCCAGCTGCCCTGATCCTCCTGCTTTTCTGCTCATTGTTCCTGCCTCAGGGCCTTTGACCTTGCTGTTTCTTCTACCTGAAAAGCCTTTTCCCAATGCCTCATGGGTCCCAAAGGCTCACAGAGAGCCCTTTCCCTGACCACATGCTCTAAAACAGCTTCCTTCTTCCCTCCGATTATTCCCTTCCTCTGCTTTCTTTTCCTCCTCCATTGAACCCAGGTCTCATGCATTCACTTTACCACTGAGCATTGTTCCCGCCCCAAGATATCTCATTATATTTTTTAGGGGCTGGAGAGGTAGCACAGAGGTTAAGGCATTTGCCTTGCATGCAACAAAGTGCAGTTCAGTCCCCAGCGCCATATATGGTCCCTGGAGCTGCTCTAAGCACAGAACCAGGAGGCAGTAGCTACTCAGTATGGCCAGGCGTGGCCCAAACCTCCTCCTTCCAAACAGATATTTTGTGTTTGAATTATATATTTTTTTCCCTTCTCCCTTCCCTGCATTGCTGTTGTTGGTTGTGTCTGTGGTGTTCTGCACACTTTAAGTCGGGCTGTTCACACATGCTCACTGGGGGGTCACACTTCGAACTGTGCTGCTTATGCATCTTAGTTGGGTGCTCCCTGCATTTCACAGAAGTTTCTGTGGTGTGAACGCTTGCAGATCCAGGGCACCTCCAGCAGAGCTGCCGGGCTCTGGATCATGCTGGCTATGTGCCAGACCAGGGGGTTCAATTAATGATTGTCGACTTGCAAGGCAGATATCCCAAACCACTGCACTATTTTTCCAGGCCCTTGCTTTTTTTTGTGTTGTTGTTGTTCTTGGACTACAACCAGTGGGGCTCTGAACTATTCCCAGGTCTGTGCTCGGTGATCACTTTCAGCAGTGTTATCAGGAGCCAGGCAGTACTGGGATGGGCCCCTCCCTGGTCTCTGGATGCAGAGCCTGTATCCAGCCCGCTGAGTTCTCTCTCCAGCCCCAGTCCCTCACCTTCTCCATTGCCATATTTACTCTGGACAGATATGTATTTGCTACATAGCCCTCCTGTCTTGGGATGTAAGTTCCACGGAAGCAGAAACTTTGAGTGTCTAATAAATAGTGAGGAACGACTATGTGCAACATATGGGTGTGTGTGAGTGTGTTGCTCCCGAGGGAATGCCTTTGCAGCTGTCTGTCTGTATGTGCAGGACTGTGGGAATAAAGACCCTGAGTTTGTGAATGTTACTGAGTTTGTGTGTGAATGTCAACACCGGGCCAAGAGCGTCTGTGCGTGCAGGTCTGTGCCGATCGTGTGCTTGCCTGCGTGCACATGCTGTGTGGTGATGCGTACCCGAGTCTGTTCCAGTGAAGGTGGAGAGCTGGGACGTTGGGGCTCGTTTTTGCAAATGGAACTGCCAGTTGCCCTGACCATCCCCTTCATCCTCCCAACCCATGAAACAGGAAATACCCACCCGTATTTTGCAGCCTGCAGGCTTCAGACCACCTTTCAGTTGTGACGCATTAGGTAGATACAGAAGTGTGGGGAGGAGATGCTCAGAAGAGGATGGGGGGCAACCTAGGGCTCCTGGCAGCCTGGTGCTGGTGCCATCAGGGACAGACGCTTCTGGTAAAGTGGTCGGCCAAGAGTGAGCCAGAAGCCGTGGCGCTGGGGCAGGCTCTGGATGGGCTGGTGGTCCCAACAGGTGCCTGCTGTGTCCCCAAATGCAGCAGACTTGTTTGTAAGTGCAGCTCCTTGCTCTCCGCTCCTTTGCTTCTTGGAAACACGTGAGCGTGGAGGGCGTCAAGGCAGTGATGCATCACAGGGCAGCTGTGTTCTCTGTCCCTGCGGCCCTTTAGGGCACGCTTTCTCTCTCACCCGAGTAAATGCCTCAGTGTCCTGGTCCAGCTCGGGACATGGCCAGCCCCACGTGGGCCTCCGTGAGCAATCGTTGAATAAACACCAAGTGCGGGCCCAAATGCACAGGGGCTGGGGCAGCCTGGGAAAGAGATGGGGCCTCCAGGGATGGAGGAGGTCGCCAAGGCAACTGTGGCCCCACGCAGGGAATGGATGTGCGTGCGAAGGGGCTCAAGTGCAGGCTCCCTCCCGCGCTGACAGACAGCCGCTGTCCTGTGGGTGGCGAGGTGGGGTGCCCCTGCAGGCTGGGCCCGCTGGAGGGGAGTTCAGCCTCACAGCCTCTCTTCCCCTCCCCACTGCAGGCGCGTGCCGTGATGCAGCACTACGGGGTGAACGGCTACTCGCTGCACGCCATGAACTCGCTCAGTGCCATGTACAACCTGCACCAGCAGGCGGCCCAGCAGGCGCAGCACGCCCCAGACTACCGGCCCTCAGTGCACGCGCTCACACTGGCCGAGCGCCTGGCTGGTAAGGGCAGCAGGGGCAGGGCTCTGGGGAACCCGAGCTGAGCAGTCGCGGGGAGTGGGCACTGGAGAACTGAGATTGCTGAGGAAGTTTCCTCTGGGAGGCTCAGATGGACCCAGCCCCTGGGCCACAGGGAGATGCCTGTGAGGGTCTCGAGCCGAGCCGCGGGGTGGGCCGCAGGGCTGGAGCACAGCCGTGGGGTGGGCAGGGGCCGCAGCTCTCTCTAGATGCATCACCCCTTCGCCTCCCGGGGACAGCAGCTCTGGCCTCTCATTTCTGGGACAGGACACCGAGGCTCAGCGCGGTGGGAACTCGGTGGGTGAATGAGACACCAGGGCTGGGAATCGGAGCTCAGGCGGCACCAGCACCGGCCCTGCAGATCGGCCCTCGCCCCTCATCCCTGAGCCTGTTAACAATGGGGGTGGCAGTGCCTGCCTGCCGAGACCATGGCTGGGCGCGGGGAGGGATTCCACAGAGGCAGGGACTCGAGGTCATTATCACCCAGGTCTGGAGCTGCAGCGTGGGCCCACAGGTCATTGCTCTCCCCAGCAGCCTCGTGGTGGGCACCAGGGAAGGACTGGCAGCAGAACCACAGATCTCCCACAGTCCCACTCCAATCTATCCCGGGTCGACCACAAGCAACTGCTAAACGCAAGGGACACCAGCCCCCTGCCAGGTGGTCTCAGAGAACTTCTGGGCATCTCTCCAGGGAGACCAGATCCCCATGAACCCCTGAGAGGGCATGGCAGAGTCAGGGTCAAATGGCATAATCTGCTGGTGTAGTCAGAAAGGGCTTCCTGGAGGCCACGTGCAGAGTCTCAGCCTTATAAGGCCTGGCAAGGATGGATGACAACGTGAGCAAAGGCCCGGGAATATGGGGCAGAATATGAGTGAGGGACTGGCTTACATGAGAGAGTGGGGTGGACATGCACATGCCTGTAGACCCTGCCAGGCTTCTGCAGGCCCAGTGAGGAGACTGAGTCCTGGTCACCTACTTCAGATGGTGGGGGGAGGGGAGGGGGATGCAGTGGGAGTCGGTGTCCTGTGCCACCCGAGCGGGATCACCCGACAAGTTCCAGACCCGAGAGGAGGGGCCCTGACCTCTGAAGTGGGGACAGGGAGGGGACTATTCAGTTCCCCAGCACCCCCTCTGCAGGAGGGGCAGAAGCTCTAGGTGGGCCTTTGTGTGTCAGCCCTGCCTTCCGTGCCCCTACCCCCCACTGGAGGCCACAGACTTCACTGACAAAGTCCCCACCCGTCTCCTGCCCTGAGCAACCTGCATCATGGCAGGGTCCTGTCTGGGCTGGGATCAGTGCCGGGTTGCGAGGTGTTCAGAGCTGCCTCTGCGTATTTACTCTTGTGGGGCTTTTGACCGTATCGGCATACCCCTGGCTCTGTGCTTAGATCCCAGCAACACTCAGGGATCGAACCCAGGTCTGCCACATGCAAGGTACTTGCCTTATCCTCCGTACCATGGCTCCAATTGCTGGGGCTGCCTCTTTTTTCTATTTAAATTTATGGAATCACCATGAATCACAAAGTTATTCATGCTTGAGTTTAGGAGTACAAAGCTCCAACTTCCCCAGTGTCCCCTCCCCTCCACTGGCGTCCCCACTTTTCCTCCTGCCCCCAGCCTGCCTCTGTTGGCTGCCTCTGAGTATATAAAAGAACTGTGGCCTGGACGCTGCTTGCCTCCTTGGCTAAGAGCGTTGAAGAGGACCCCAGTCCCTGGAGTCTGATGGCCAGTACGGCTTGACACCACTCACTTCCCGGCCACCCGGGATTCTCTGATGGGAGGGGTGGCAGCGGGAGAGAAGCCCTGTAGAGGGGGCTGAGCCCGAAGACTGACATCCACCCCCCTCCTGCTCTGATGGGCTTCCAGGCATGGGGACGTGGCTCTAGCCCCGTTGCCTCTTTGTCTCCGGTTGCCCCTCCTGGAGGAAGCCTTCCCACGGCTCCAGACTGGATGCAACGGGTCCCCCTAGAGCTCCTGGGCCCTGCTGGAGCTGGGCCCTCAGGGACTCCCAGGATGACAGCCCTGGTGTGGCTCATACCCAGAAAACAGAATTCACTGACCATGAGTGCCAGTGTCGGCCCAGTTCTGACCGAGAGAACCAGCTCGTGGCTACCTCCCCGAGGTCGTAGGCCAGGATGCTGCTGGGGTGCAGGGTTACCGCATGTCAGAACCTGTATAACGTGAACCTCCAGAGCCATGGGGTTCTGAGCTTAGGATCACCTTCACGGCCAGCCCCACCCTGAGCAAGGAGGGCATTGGGGATAGCTGTGAGGGGGAGTGACAGCGTAGGAGCCCATGGGGGCCCTGGAGGGCACGGTGCGATCCTGGAGACCTGGGGGTCACTCCCCAGGGGAACGGCTCTGGCAGAGCCTGTGTGTCTGCAGTGGGGCAGAGCAAGCAAGGCCCAGACCCGATTTCCCGTAATTAAATGGGCCCCTCTCCTTGCCTTCCAACGGCTGTACATTTCAAGACATCATCTTGGAGGCCCGCTATGGCTCCCAGCACCGCAAACAGCGCCGCAGCCGTACCGCGTTCACGGCTCAGCAGCTCGAGGCTCTGGAGAAGACCTTCCAGAAGACTCACTATCCGGACGTGGTGATGCGCGAGAGGCTGGCCATGTGCACCAACCTGCCGGAGGCCCGCGTGCAGGTAGGACCCGGCCCAGCAGCCGGGCTGCCCCGAGGAGGGGGCGCATCTGACGCCGGGATAGGAAGAGGAGCTGGACGGGCCAGGGGAGGCCCCGGGGACTCCCACAGCGTCCCGTTCCCTAATGCGTCTTTCCTTCCTACCTCCGTGGTGCCTCTCCCATCCCCAGGTGTGGTTCAAGAACCGCAGGGCCAAGTTCCGGAAGAAGCAGCGCAGCCTGCAGAAGGAGCAGCTGCAGAAGCAGAAGGAGGCTGAGGGCACCCCTGCCGGAGGCAAGCGCGAGGCCCCCACCCCTGACTCCCAGCTGGAGACAGAGCAGCCCCCTCGCCTGCCCAGCGGCGAGCCCCCTGCTGAGCTTCACCTGAGCCTTTCTGAGCAGTCGGCCAGTGAGTCAGCCCCCGAAGACCAGCCAGAGCGGGAGGAGGACCTCCGGGCCGGGGCCGAGGACCCCCAAACTCAGCAGAGTCCTGGGGCTGAGAGCAAGGTGCTGGGCTGCAAGAGAGGCAGCCCTAAGGCAGGTGAGGCTGGGAGGGGCATGTGGGGCGGCCTACCAGGAGGGACAGGGCCACTGCAGGCCCCAGGGCTGGGGTCAGTGGAGATGCATTCAGACTGAGGGCAGAGGTGACTGAGCAAAAAGGCTACTTGTCCACTAATAAGGAAACCTTTTGACAACCGTTCCGGGTCCCTGTGTGGGTCGGGAATCCCTGAGTGACCCCAGGGACTCCAAGCCCGTTTCAGCGCTGGGGCATAAGCTGTGCCACACCCCGAACCTGGCCCAGCAGGGAGAGGTGCCGGGAGCCTAAGTGGGGTCGGTGCTCAGACACGGGCCTGGACAGCGCTCGGGCTCTCCGCCGAGGAAGCCTGGGTTGTTCCCTCCCAAGACTTTTTTGAGGTGGGAGTGCTCAGGGTTTGCTCCTGGCTCTGAACTCTGGGCTTATTCCTGGAGGGCTCTGGAGACCATGTGGGGATCTGGGATTAAACTCTGGTCGGCCCAAGCATCCTACCCGCTACACCGTCTCTCCAGCCGTCCCGCCAGAAGCTGGAGCTCAGCCGAAGCCTGTCTGCAGCGCCTCGGGACGGTGGGGCCTGGCAGGCTGATGCCCTGTCCTCAGTGCCTGGTTCTGTTCTGGCTTGCAGATTCCCCGGGCAGCCTGGCCCTGGCTCCTGCAGCCCCCGGGGGCGGCCTCCTGGGCCCCTCGCACTCCTACTCCTCCTCCCCGCTGAGCCTCTTCCGGCTGCAGGAGCAGTTCCGCCAGCACATGGCAGCCACCAACAACCTGGTACACTACTCGTCCTTCGAAGTGGGGGGTCCGGCTCCCGCCGCTGCCGCCGTGCCCTATCTGGGCGTCAACATGGCCCCTCTGGGCTCCCTGCACTGCCAGTCCTACTACCAGTCCCTGTCCGCGGCCGCTGCTGCCCACCAGGGCGTGTGGGGGTCCCCTCTGCTGCCGGCACCCCCAGCCGGCCTGGCACCTGCCCCGGCGGCCCTGAACAGTAAAACGACGAGCATCGAGAACCTGCGACTTCGTGCCAAGCAGCACGCGGCCTCGCTGGGACTCGACACGCTGCCCAACTGACCGCTGCCGTCCGCTCAGCTGGGGGACCGGATGCCCCCTCCCCACCCCCCGGCCCCCTCGGTGGCTGGCGAGGGATCCTGGGGCCCCTCCCCAAGGTCCCCCACCCCGTGGAGCCCCCCTCCCTCCACACCCTCTGCATGGCCCTGCTCGATCTTGGGGAGGCCCCCTGGGGGCAGGGGTGAGGCTGGGGGTAGCGAGAGCCGCTCCTGGCTGGATCCCCACCTCAGTGCCACCTCCTCCCCCTCCCTCCCTGCTGCCCCCTAGTCAGTTGGTGTGTGGAACGTGAGATGTAAGTATAAATATATAAAGCTCCATTTTCAGGCCTCGCCTGCCCCAGGCCCCGTCCCCCAGCGCCGGCCTCGCCTGCAGCAGCTCCCCTCTCTGCTTCCCCTTCTCTGCCCTCTCGCTCCTGGAGCCCCCCGCGTTGTCCCCAGGCGAGGGTCCCGCAACAGTTGTGCGTCTTTAGCTTTAGTGACTCTGCAGCTTCTTCCTCTTCGTCCGGCTTTGCTTCCTCTGCCCCGTGCCGCCCTGCCCACCAGCACCCCGTAGGTGTCTGTTCTTCTCCAGCCCAGCACAGGGACCCAGGCTTCCTGCTGGACACCCTGGGGCCCTGGGTTGGCCCGCGGGAAGGTGCCGCTGGGCTGACCTCATTCGGGGCTCAGCTGTGTTTTCTCTCTACTCAGCCTGGAGCCCCAGTTTCCAAGGTTGAGGAAGGGGTGGAGGCAGGAGCGAGGCTCGGAGGGGTGTGGAGTGGAGCGTCTCCCTCCCTCAGACCTCGGGACCAGGCCTGTGGCTGTCCCCACCAACCCGTGGTGCGTCCCTGGCTGGAGGGAGGCAGGAGAAGGGGAACTCCCCTCGATGGGAGGGGTCTCCAGGAGCCTGGACAGGAGGCCACCTGTGTGGATTGTTAGAGTCAGGAGGGCAGGGTGGCTGCCAGCTCAGCGGACACCTGAGCCTGGGTGCATCGGGAGCCCGGCTGAAGCCTGTGCTCTGTCCAGCTGGTCGAAGGCACGGAGAGGTGTGGGCCCGTTATGGCCTGGACCCCTCTGCAAACTCCCTTCCAAGCACCATGAGCTTGGGTCGGGCGTTCGCCTCTCTGGAATGTGTCCTCCGTCTGGCTCTGGCCTCCTGTTATCTGGGTACCTGGCCTTGCAGGACAGGAGCTGACTGACTGGCAGGGCCGCAGTGGGTGCCGTGTGCACAGGCCTCTCTGGGCCCCTTCTCGCTGTGACAATCTGGATTGGGTCTTGATTTTCTTGAGTTCCAGCGCCAGCTTCTGTGGGCACCCCCTCTCTGCGCCTTCCCGTGGTTTCAGGGGCTCTGGGTGGGGGTAGTTTGTACAGAATCCAGCTTCTGACGCCATCTCTCTGTGGCTTACCCCGGAATGCTCCAGCCCTGTTTGGAGAAGTTGCTTCTTCCTCAGGCATGTCCCTCCCGGGGGCAGATGAGGGCTCCTCAGTGGAACTGGTCTGCAGAGCAGAGAAGGCCATCACCCTTAGATAGCCCTCCTGGGCTGGGCAGATGGAGGGCAGGGAGGGATCTTGGGCCCAGACATCTGGGTGAGCCCGCAGAGGAGGGGAGTGAGGGGCAGAGGCCTCAGGAGAGTGGGGCTGAGTACCTCACAGGGGGCGGGGAAGGGGCACTGACCCAGCAGGCAGGGGTCTTTCCCAACACACCTCCCGAGCCGAGATCTGGGCATTGGGTACCAAGTTCAGTGTCCCAGGAGCCCGGAAGGAGGCTGACCTAGGGGGGCAGGAGCTGGTGAAGACCAGAAGGCAGGAGCATCTGGGGCCGGTCCTGAGGGTCCCGAGGCAGGCTTGGCTGCTTCTCAAATGAAAAGAAGCTGGACTTGGAGGGGGCGGACGCTTGCTGCTTGTCCTGGGTATGAGCCTGTTACTGGTCTTGGAATTCAAGAGCTCTAGACATTGTGGCCTCCTCCAGGAAGCTTTCCTAACCTCATGCGGGGCAAGTTTCTCCAGATCAGAGCCGGGCCAGGTCAGCTCAGGCTCAGCCAAGGCCGAGCTCTTCTGTGGGCTGCTCCCCCATCCCCCACCTCACCGGGGAATCCCCAGCTCCTCAAGGCTCCAGCCGCAGGTTCCAAAAGCAGCTAGGGATGGAGATGGAGCACCAGGGTCCTCCCCGAGAGCCAGGGGGCTGGGCATGGGGAGACCCCTGCCCTGAGCCACTGGGCCTCTCACAGGCTTGCTCCGTCCCCCACCCTGAGGCTGAGTCCTACCCGGAAAACCTCATTCCTCACTTTCCCCTCCTATTTGGGGTCTCTAGTCCCTGCCCCCCATCTGTCCCCAGCATGGTCCAGGGGCCTGGCCCCCCCCGCCCCGCGGGTTGTGCCGACCCGCGCCAAACCAGCCGTTTCGTGTCCGTGTGTGCTTAGAGCTCGCGCCCGCCATGGCGCGCATCCGCGTACCGTATTTATTGATTCTGTTAGTTAAAAGGACAAGACTCAAGTCCCCCTTCCCCGGCCGAGTCCGGCATAGCGCAGCATGCACTGTCCCGCGTTTCTGTCCTTCTGTCCGTCTGTCTGTGACGTTGTGACCTCTTCTCTGCCCGACTTGGTTAATAAAAGAATCCGGCAGCACATCGCTGGCTCCAGGTCCGTTGGTCGAGATCCCTCTTCTGACCCATCTGGGGAGCGTGGGGAGCAGTGGGTTGGGTGGGAAGGGCCAGCGTCTTCTCTGGCTACTTGGTCCTCAGCCTAGCACATGTGGCAAAGCCAGCCTGGGGCAGGGACACCTGGGGACACTGCTAGCTGAGGACCTGGGCCTCCGAGCCTCGAGGTGCAGGGGCTTCTGCGAGACACTGCAGGGGCTGCAAGGAGACATATTTGGGTCTGAGATGGGGGCCAGGGCGTGGCCTCTTGTAGGATGGGGCTGTGGGTATGTGGAGACCTGAAGCCCCGGGTGAAGATGGTGCCCGCGTTCCTGCCACGGCCCAGGCCAACAGAGCTGGGGTGACATCAGTGAAGATTCTGCCAGCTCATGGGTGTGTGGCTGCCTCTGCCAGCCTCTATGTGCGAAGAAAGGCCGTGGGTGGATTCCTGTGCGCGAGCGAGCCAGACTGTGGGAGCGAAGACTCGCAGCGGAGCGGAGAACGGGGTGACCGCGGTGATGCATGAGCTGCCGAGAGAGTTAGAAGCACGACTTTCCACCAGTCACGGTGTGCATCATGTCTGTCCAGCCAGGATAAGCTCCTAGACCACCATGCTCAGCCTGGCCCCCAGCCTCCAGCCTCCAGTCTCCAGAGCAGCTGCCCTCTGGGTTCCAGACCCGGAAGGAGCTGTGCAAGTGTACACACACCCCTGTGTGTACAGGGGTGAATGGTCCCCCTGAAGTCCCTGGTGGAAAGTCGTAGCTGGCCTGCGGTGTGGGGAGGATGTCCTGGGGGTGGGGGTGGGGACTGACCTCCCATTTCCCAGGTCCTGCTGACCCTGGGAGACATTCCTCTCTGCAGACAGAGGATTAGGGCCAGAGCACCCCCTGGCTTACCCCTGGGGAGGGGCTGGCAGATCAAATGTCCGCACCAATCTCCCTGGGCTCCCTGCACGCACAGCCACATACATGAGTCCGTCCGGGGCCTGCCCTGATAGCAGCGTCTGACAGTGCCTGCTGTGCGCCTGGCAGAAACCCGCTCTGCTCCCAGGACCCAGCCCAGGACTCAACACAGACCCTGGGAGGACCGGGCAGCCCAGAAGGACCCTGGTGGGGGCTGCTTTGGAAGTGTGTTACCAGAAGCGCGCGCGCGCGCGTGCGTGTGTGTGTGTGTGTGTGTGTGTGTGTGTGTGTGTGTGTGTGTGTTTGGGGGGGAGCAGAGGCTGGCCTCTGAAAAGCCCAAGGACTGAGCTGAGCCCCTGGGGAGTGAGTGGCCAGTCTGCTGGGGGTGGAGGGGGGACTCAGCGGGAGGTGGTGGTGTCTGAAAGGGAAGCTGATGGCTTGGCCGGGGCCCAAGGGGCTGTTCTCAGTGGGGGAGCTCAGACTTGCCTCAGAGTAGCTCTTGCCCACCCACCCCATCCTTGGCTGCACACTGCAAGGTGTCAAAGAGGCCAGGAAACAGGGCAGGGGGTCCTCATGGCTGGGTAGAGTTGAGTGACAGGACGCCCCTGGGAACTGGAGACCAAGGGGGCACTGGAAGGGGGGTTAGGAGCAGAATTTATCTGGGGTCTGCAGGCACGAAGGGATTGGGGTGGACCTTGCTGGAGTCAGGGTGGGGCAAGCAGGAGTGAGTGGAAGTGAGGAGTGAGAGGGGGTGGGAGAGAGTGGGGAGTGGGGTGGTCGGGAGTGAACGGGGATGAGAGGGAGCAAGCAGGGATGAATGGGGCTGAGCAGTGGTGAGTGGGGGTGAGCAGGGATGAGCAGGGGTGGACGGGGGTGAGGAGAGGTGGATGGGGATGAGCAGGGATGAGGAGGGTGAGCGGGGTGAATGGGGGTGAGTGGGGGTGAAGGACGGGGGGGAGGAGCGCGGCTGCTGCCCGTGCCTGCTGTGTGGACGTCCTCCCTGGTTCAGGGGCTGGGCTGGAGAAGACCCCAGAGAAGGTCGCCGGCACGCTGACCTGCTGGTTTCTTTCCTTTGTAACAAACCCTCAGACAGCTCATCTCAGCGCATAGTTCAGCTCTTGACACACTGCTTTCTTTTTCTTTTTTTTTCCTCCTTATTTAGGGGCTGGAGCGATAGCACAGGGGATAGGTTGTTTGCTTTGCACGTGGCCGACCCGGGTTCGATTCCTCCGTCCCTCTCGGAGAGCCCAACAAGCTACCGAAAGTATCCCACCCACAAGGCAGAGCCTGGCAAGCTCCCCGTGGCGTATTTGATATGCCAAAAACAGTAACAACAAGTCTCGAAATGGAAACATTACTGGTGCCCGCTCGAGCAAATCGGTGAACAATGGGAAGACAGTGCTACGGGACGGTGCTACTTAGGGGCTACTCGTGGCAGTTCTCAGTGATTCCTGGTTCTGCACTCAGGGATGGAAGGGGGGGGGTGGCTAG